ACATCCATTAAGTTTTCATTCGTAGACATAGATGTTTGACTAACAAAAAAAGGTCGTTTTTTTTACGTCTGGCATTATACTGTATTCGAAAAGAGAAAGAAGACGAAGAACAACGACAACATCAACAGTAATATCGATGCATGCATATACAGATGTGAATATGATTATTTTGTTTCTCTTTCTCTCTCTTTACTCAATGCGCATATGAAGTAAAATAAAACGAATAAGAAAGAACTGTATGACATTGATTACCATTACTAATAATTTTCAAAACAAAAATATTTATGATCGAAAAAGAAACACATATTTATATATATATGAGTATATCAGATGTAAAAATGAATGCATCATTCTTATAATTAATAGATTTACAGACAAAAATAAAATCATATTTTTATTTTATTTAACTGATAATGTTTTTGAATATATTACTTTATATTTTTTAATTGAAACAGAAAGAGAGAGTGATATAATAAAAGTATATTATTATTTACGGATGTCTACGATTATACATTACAACATAAATAAAAAGGATTCGTTTCAATGAATAATATGCATATCACGTAATTTACGTTGAATTTTGCGTTTAAATGTATCACGAAACATTGAGCCACTAAAAATATATAAATAAAATGACATTGAATAAGCAATAAAACGAATTAGAATAATGACGGCATAAATTAAATTTTCAATTGCTACTTGAAGATTACTTTTGGAAACATTTGATGTAACACTACTATATAATCGCTGAATTCCAACTGGTAAACTTAGTGCTAGAAGAACTAAAACCTAAACAAAATACTAAATTACATATGAGAAACTTAAAAATTATGAAATATCAACTCTTGAGCGGATTTTAAACTAACCTGAATTAACAATATTGTACGTAGATTACGATCAATTTTTTTCAGATGTGCATGCATATTTGTGTTGTTGGGCATTGATAAACTATTTGATGTCGGTGCAGGATGTATAATTCGTTTTCGAATGTTGGTAATTGTTAATATACCAAAAATAGCCATAAAACAACTTGGTATAGTAATATTGTATAAAATATTCGTCCAATCATTGTACAGCTGACATGCTGGAGCTTGAGTATAACATAGGACAGGAACATTAGGAACACTAGCTTGGTAACAATAGAAAACCTGGACAAATAAAAGAATCGACAAAATCAGTATAGCAATTAAAAATTTCCTTGCTGTTCGAATTGAACTCTTTAATCGATAAGCAGCTGAAGCATTACTACAGAAATATCGATCCATAGTAGCGCCAACAAAAGCCCAAGCTGCTATTGACCAGCATATATTAAGTATGAAGAGACGAATTTTACAGAGAGGTGGATTTTGATTTGGCCAATTAATTCCATAACTAAAAATCAAATAGATGTAGACAATAGTGTGTTCCTATTATAAATTGTTCTCTTATCACACTTTTATATGCATACAAACTTACCCTGAAAGCACTCGAGTTAATAATCCAGACCATATGAAAAGAATACTTGAAATAGATGACCACCATAGATAGTTTGTACATGGATTTTCATGAAAAGTACGATCATTAAAAACAATAAAATTCAGAAGATTACCAGTAGTACCAAATAAAATGACAAAGAGAGCTCCATATCGATTAATTTGCGCTGTTATATAATTGAGAGACGCAATTAAATTTTCATTACCCGACATTTTCTTTTCAATATACAGGAGTAACTAACGTGCCTAATAAAAAAAACTTGTTTTGATATAATAAAGAACTGTTTTGAATAGTTTTATTGTAGGTTAGATGAGTTTCAGTAAAATTATAGTATTAAAACATATTAATCATTAGCATCTCAACTTTAATAAACTATAACTACTACTAAACACATACATGCTAAGAATTATAAGAAGAAATATGAATGAAGAGAATATTTGAAATATATAAAAAATGTGACGAACTAAAAAGTCATTCCTTTCTATCCTTAAATACCCCTCATCATAGTGCCTGACAGTCTCTTACGTGACATTTTTAAATTATTTATGCTGTGACTATTTCAGGATATACATTCTAATGTGTTAATTAATTCAATCTAGGAAAAATATAATGATGAATTTATTATAATGTACATATTAGTAAGTTATTCATTTGTATTGAGATTTGCGTACATCCTATAAATTAGCTGATCTCTATTATCTAACTCACACTCTTTTATACTTAAAACTGATTGAGGAACTATTTTTATTTTGTATTTCATATTAGCGGCATATTCAATTAACTCTAAGAGACTTATTCCTTTAGTAAACTCTTAAAATATATTAAAGAAGATTTTAGAAAAAAATAGGTTTACGTCTGTCCTGTTAATGATTTATATTAGTCTGATAAGAGATAAAAAATTTTAGTTCTCTTTTCATTTCAAATTGATGCAATCTAAATAGAAATAAAACGTGTCATTTATTTGTCGTTCACATTTAATGCATCGAAACTATATCTCCTTCAAAATAAATAACGAAAAGAGATTACGATATGTTTTTCTCACATTTCGTCGGACAGAATTCATAAACGTATGGCAAACACTAACACAAGCAGTAAATAATAGATGGTGATGAGAATATATTATACAAAAAAAAAGAATCTCTATATCATTTTCAATTAATGTTTCTAATTAAAAAAAAAAGAATTACAGAATATTTAGGAAATTACAGTCTTTTTTCTTTCTGCTATGATGCTAGAAATTTAAGTGTACGTCATAGTGAGAGTATACAACGAGAACATGCTAAAATAGAATAATTATAGATGAACGCGAAATGCGAATTTTATTTCATCTGTATAATAACAAACTTTCATGAAAGATAATCAAAGTAAAGAATTTTAACTAGGGATTGAAACTATATAATGTTTTTCCTCAAAATAAACAAATTTGTTTTTGTAAAACATAAGAAAAAAGTACCATTATGTTAAATTATCGTGCATAAATAATTTTTATAAGCACGAAATAATATCAACAATAGAAAATATAGGAGGAAATACATTTGACAACTGAAATAATTCTAAAAATATTTGTTTAAAATTAGAGTTTTGTACCGTATATAGGTGAAGAATTTTAAAAAAATATTTCCAACAGTCTTATAATAGGTGTTTTTTTCAACTGAAAAGTTTCTTTACAAGCAAGAAGAATTCGATATTAATAATGATCTATTTGAACGTTACTAATACAGTTTTATATTTTGATGACATATAGATAAATTTGAAACGATTAAATAAACAATTGAAAAGAAAAAGACGACTTGAATTTTTTTGTTTAAATCTATCAATTCATTATTATTTTTATCGCTTAAAAAATGATTTTGTCTAATGTTAAAGTAGTATTTTTGGTATTTGTACTGGATGTCACCGCATGAGTTTTTCGAATATGTTGAAGTAAATGATTAAGTTCAGAGAATTGTTCATTACAAAAAATGCACGATGATTGTAATCGACGAAAATCAAATGATGATGGAATTGATGTCGATGATGGTCGATGATGTGGAAAAATTATTGGTTGTTTCATAAATGAAGTTGTAAATGGTTGAAATAGTGGAGGTAACATTCGTTGTGAATTTCCATTACACATAGCTCGAAAAACTTGATCAGATGTTTTTTGATGTGTTCCATTTATGACAAAAGAATCTTTTTTTTGTATGTCTATATTAGATGATGTTGATGCAGACAGAGATGGATATTCGTGAACAGTATCTGAATTTGTCGATGTAGAAGTATTTGTTGAACGTGAATCCGAACGTGATGAACATCGTAGATGTTTATTTGTTATTGATTTTTGAACTGAAGATGATGTTGATGCT